TCCTCCAGAGCTTCCACGTCCTCGGGGACCCTCCTCCGCCAGAGCAGTGCAGCCTTGCCTTGCCTGCCGCCGCCTCTGCTGCACATGCCGGACCAGGGTCCCTCTGACGACTGCCCAAGCCTCCCCACCCCCACCTTCCCTAGAAGTCTCCAGAGAGAGAGGGCAGCTTTCTCCCCTTTTTCTTTCTCTTTCTCTCTCTCTCTCTTTCTTCCCCACCCTCCAGAGCTACCTTGTGAGCCTGGGGCAGAGGGGCTGTAAACCCCGACTCCCCACTTCCTGACACCATGGGAGGGGAGAGTGCAGAGGGAGGCTGCCCCCAGCTTGGAGCAGACTCTGCTCCGGGCCAAGGCATTGGAGGCGAGCTGACAGCGCAGGCTGGGCGCGCGGGCCGGGTAGGCTCCTGCCGTCCTGGCTGCCCCTACCCCACCCCTAAATGCTGTCTGTCCCCTGCCCCCACCCCTCCTTCACAGGGTGATGCTGAGTTCAACCGCATCATGAGCGTGGTTGATCCCAACCACAGTGGCCTTGTGACCTTCCAAGCCTTTATCGACTTCATGTCAAGGGAGACCACTGACACAGACACAGCTGACCAGGTTATCGCCTCCTTCAAGGTCCTGGCAGGGGACAAGGTGAGCGGGACACCTCTGAGGCACCCGAGGGCCGGCGGGAAGGTTCTCCTTAGCAGGAGTCATGGCCAGCACTGGGTGTGAGGGGCTGGGCAGGCTAATGTGTGAGTGGGGGATGGCTCAGAGCTCCGCTCTGCCACCCCCAGAACTTCATCACAGCTGAGGAGCTGAGGAGAGAGCTGCCCCCCGACCAAGCTGAGTACTGCATTGCCCGCATGGCCCCCTACCAGGGCCCTGATGCCGTGCCCGGTGCCCTCGACTACAAGTCCTTCTCTACGGCGCTGTACGGCGAGAGTGACCTGTGAGGCCCTCACCGGAGACACCTGACCAAACAGCCCTCCTCACAGCCTCCAGGTGGGGCTGGTGGAGCCCTTCCGCCCCTCCCCGCAGCACGGGACTCCACGGTCCCGATTCCTCTGACTCTGTATCTATGCAAAGCACTCTCTGTCGGTCCTTTTGGTGGGGAGGTGGGTGGGGGTGGACAGGGAGGGGCTAGGGCAGGCTCTCTCCTCTCTCTCTGTTGGTTGGCCAGGAGGTTCTTACCCCCACGAGGTAGGGGTAAGGGAGACTGGGAGTCAGCACTCTGGTCTGGTAAATATATATGATGTGTTTTTTAACCTATGTGGAGGGGACAGTGGAGCCCCACAATAAAACAGGTCCCCTTTGTGCCCTGGGGACGCCCCTCCACACCCAGGTCCCTTCCTCTGCCCTGAGGTCCCTTCAAGGCCTCCCACATCCAGGCCAAAGCCCCATGTGCCTTGTCCGGGAACCACCCAGGCCCTGCAAAGGGTCCAGCAGAGGGCGCCACAGCTGCCCGATGGGACCAGGAGCCCATCCAGCCCCATTCTACCTGCTCCCTTCTCCCAGCTTGGGATTGCCAGGAGATGAGGGGCCTCGGCTCTGCACCGCCCTTAATGCAGCAGAGGAGTGGGGTTGGGCAGACTGGGCCCCTCACCCCACCACCCCTCGCCCCCATCCCAGCTGCCCTCGCCTTGCTTTGTCTGGACTCATGTGTCTCAGATTTTCTAAGGACCAAAAAAAAAAAAAAACAAAAAATACACACACACACAAAAAAAAACTTAAAAAAAAATTAAAAATTCAGAGAATTACTATTACTTTATTAACTTACGGATTTATTATATAAATATATATTCGCCTAGCAACATATCTTTGCCGGCTCTCGTGATGAAGATACAGCTGATTTGCTGCCCTCCCCTCCCCTCACTGATTTTTCCCTTTGTTTGTGTCGGGCATGGGTCTCGGGACCCCGCTGAGGTAGAGGTGGGCTGCTGGCCTGGCTGCCTGGTAGTTGATGGTCCCCCCCCACACTTTTTTTGAGTTTATTCTGATTGATTTTTTTTTTCTCGGTTTCTGGATAAACCACCCTTCAGGGGACAGGATAATAAAACATGTAATATTTTTAAGAAGGATTCCTACAGTGTCCTCTCTTTTCTCGCTCCTTTCTCTGTCCTCCACTTCTTAGGGGAGCAATGGTAGAATATGTCTTCCCAGAGCAGGGCGGGCACACGAACCCATGATTCCACAAGTGTGTAAAAGTAAAGAGTGCTCTTGTGAGCGGGTGATGTCGCCTGCACAGGAGAGGCTGCTGCCATACCCATTTCCAGGTGAGAGCAAAGAACAGAGAAGTCACCCAGCCAGTGAGCGGTGGGGCAGAAATCAGGCCCAGGCAGGCCAGCTCCAGTCAGAGCAGGGCCCAGGGAGGGTGGTTGCGTTCAGGTGTCCTGCCTCCAGCAACAGGGGCTCCCATCCTGAGATCCTAGGAGAAGGTGGCCACCTCCATCCACTGGGAGAGAGAAGGAAGATAGGAGACTTGAGGCAGGGGTCTCCTGGGATGGCTCCTGAGCCCCCATCCCTCCAGCCCAGGCTCACCTGTCTGTGGGTCAGGCAGATGACCCCCTCACCCCCATCCAGGTGCTGGCTGCAGTGGCCTGTGTAGAGAGGGGCAGGGTGAGTGCTCACCACCCCTAGTCCCCCAGCAATGGGAGACATCCTCCCTGTGCCCCACCGTGCCAGGGTTGGCACTCACGGAAGATGCAGGTGAGCTGGGCCACACAGGACACAAAGCGCTCAAAGTCCACACGCAGACGGCTGTCCCGGTAGCGGCTAGTGAGAGCCTGGGTCAGCTGGTTGTTCAGGTGGAAGCCTGGAGGGAGAGTGCCTCTAAGCCTGCCTGGGCTGTTCCTGTAGAGCCCACCGCAGCATTGCACCCCCACCCTAGCTCCCCAGAGATGACACACAGCCCTGTTCCCAACTCCTTCCTGCAGATGACCTGGGTTCAAATCCCAGCTGTCCCAATCCAGCTGTGCACTCATGGGCCATTCCCTTCACTTTGCCAGGCCTCAGTTTCCTCATCCATCAAATGAGGAATATGATAGCCCTGACCCCATAGGGTTGTGTGAAGAGCAAGTGGTCGATACATGTAGAGAACCTAGAACAGTGGCGGCGCTCCCGCCGAGGGTTCAGATCCCATGTGGAGACCGGTTCCCACTCACTGGCTGAGTGCGGTGCGGGCGCAACACCAAGGGTTGTGATCCCGTTACCGGTCAGTAAAAAAAGACAAAAAGGAAAAAAAAAAAAAAAAACACTGGTTCTTGACCCCCTCTGAGACTCAAGGTTGCCTGATAGCTCTCCTCCTCGTCCATCCTCCACATGTCCAGATACGGTCAGTAAAAAAAGACAAAAAGAAAAAAAAAAAAAAAAACACTGGTTCTTGACCCCCTCTGAGACTCAAGGTTGCCTGATAGCTCTCCTCCTCGTCCATCCTCCACATGTCCAGATACACAGCTCTGAAGACAATTTCATGGGCTTCTGCTGCTCCTAAAGCGCATCTTCACCCCGTTCTGTCCGTGCTTCATTCATTTAATAAATACTTGTCAAGTGCCCTTACGTATTATGTCCAGTTCTAGGTGCCGTTTAACAGTCTTGAGAAGGTTGGGGGGCCTGCGGCCTCCTGGCTGGCATCTGCCCTTGGGTATGGGGGTGGGGGGTGCTGTGCCCAGGGCTGTGGGAAGACCCAGCTAGATGGACTGGAAGAACCAAGAATCCCAGCTGCCTCCGTTGGAATTCCTACTTATGAAATTCTCCTTAAGAGACTTTTGTCAGGGCTGGCTGATGAGTTCACTTGGTTAGAACATGGTGCTTATAACACCAAGGTCAAGGGTTCAGATTCCCCAAGCTGGTTGGCCACCAAAAAAAAAAATGTCATTTTTCCTCCATCTGGCAGGTATCAGAACTCAGACTGAATGAATAAACGCAAAACTTCCATCCTCCCTACCGTTCTGTGTCCTTGTTCTCTCTCCTGTCCGCATCCGTCTATCTGGAACTCACTGCACCACAGCTCCCAATCTTTGATTCTCTCAGACCCCATCTCTCCCCCTCTAACTTAGGCTCTTTTTTCTTACGCATTCCGGACACTTGACACCCTCTCTCACACTCAGCCACACCCAAATCCTGAGCCTCCCCTCTCCCCCTGGCTCCCTCTTCCGTGCAGTGGTGGAGGAGTGATCCAGCCCTCCCTCCAAATCCCCCCACACGAGATCACACTCCTGTACTTCTCTTTCTTCAGAGCCCATGAAAAGCATTTGCCTCTGGCTCCAGTTTCTTGGGTAGGATTTCGGGCTTCCACACAAATAATGGGATTGTTCTACCTCTCCAGGAGGAACTCAGCCTTTCAGCAGAAGTTGCTGGGCGGCTTTCTTTGGGGCACTCTGTGACTTGGTAATGAAAGCTGTGTGTTCCCAGCACTAAGCGCTTAGTTATGTCACTCCATAGGCTCCTCCCGGCCACCCCGTGTGTGTTAACCTTTTCCCAGAGAAGGAAATGGAGGCTCAAGCAGTTGGAGTCATGTGCCCAGGGCCACCCCAGGAATGTTAGTAGAGTGAGGATTTCAATCCAAGTTCACTGAAATCCAGGAGGCCAGGGCCTTTCAGACACCAGCTCCCAATCTTCTCCTTCCTGGAGGGTCCCCTGCCCTTCCCCAGCAACCTCCCAGGCTCATCCCCTTTCACACCCTCCTGATCCCACACAGACTTCCTCCCCCACCTCCCACTTGGCCTCTGTCAGGGTCACCAGTCCCTGCCAGGAACTGGCAACAAACTAAGGTGGGCCTTGTGGATGGCTGCAGCGTGCATGGCTGCAGCTGAGTGAGCAGACTCTGAGTCAATGGACTAGGAGGGGCAGCAGGCCCTGTCCCCACCTGCCGCATTCAGCGCCAGCCGTAGCTCGTAGGAGTTCATGGTTCCAGAGGCGTCCTCATCAAACTTGTCAAATGTGGCCTGGGCAGGGAGGTGTAGGTCAGTCCCACCCCCCAGGCCCCTGAGCAGCAACTGAGCACCCTGAAGAGGGCTGAAAAGGGGGCCTCCAAGGCCAGACAGCCTGAGTTCCCATCATGGCTCCCTTTCTTCCTGGCTGTGGGCCCTGGGCAAGCAGCTTCACCACTTTGGACCTGTTTCCCAGTCTGTAAAATGGGAATAAGCAAGCCCACAGGCTTGTGAGGACAAGCTAGGATTCCACCCACAGGGGCATAGGGCTCAGTAAATAGGAGCTTGTCGCTATTATTAGTAGGGTGAGGCCTTTGACCATTTCCTCCTCACAGGGGTCTGGAGCCGCCCATCTGTAGATAAGCAAAGCCCCCCCCCCCACCCAGAGAAGAGGTGATTTGCCTGAGGTCACACAGCCAGAAAGGGGCTGAGCCGGGAGGTGGGATTCCAACCCAGGACCAGAGGCTGTGCTCCCAACCACTGAGCTATTTAGTGCCCCTAAAGGGACCACAGAGGTGTGGATGGGGCAGGTATGCCCCAGCCATATTACTTCAAGTTGGTATGGGGTGGTCCAGTCCCCCCTTGCTCCCTGGGGCCCTGAAAACCCACAAGATGCCTATATCCTTGTTAGTAAAGGTGCCTCTCCCTCCAGGGAGGGCCCTGCCCAGCCTCCCACCTTACCTGCCACTTCAGGAGGTAGCCCCAGAGTTGCTGGAAGTGATGCAGGGCCAGGCTTTGCCCATGCTGGAGGTGGGGGCATCTGGTTAAGGTCAATGTCCCTAGAAGGGGAGGAGACCCCAACTTTCCCACCCCCACCCCCCTACCCAAGCACTGCCCCCTCCATGTACCCCAAAACACTGCAGCAGCTGTTCACAGGTCCTGAGCCCAATCTCTCCGGGAGTCCGAGCATGGGCCCTGGCTACAGGAAAGAAAACCCCAGCACTTCCTGCATGTGACCATCATTGTAAGTGCTTTGTGGACATAACCCCCGAAGTAGGCATTATTGTTATCCCCATTTAATAGACATCGAGTCACAGAAAGCCAGTGACTGCTGTAACTAGCAGAGATGGGATGTGAACCCAGGCAGGGCGTTCCAAGTCTGTGCTCACAGCAGCGATACACCCTGCCTCTCACTTAGTGGAGGCCTGGCTGCGGGGCCTGCTATGGGACCTGCCACTGGACTGATGCAGTGAGATGGTGCCAGGCTGAACCCAGGCTTCTGTGGCCGGACTTCCAGCAGCATCATGCATTCACACACATAGGGCTGGGTGGGGTCTGGCTCTGGTTGCAACGAACCCTGGCCAATACCCTCTCCCCCAACTCACCAGGCTCCAGGGCAACACTTAATAAGGTCTGGAGCTGAGGAGCATTGAGTTCTTCTTCCTGGTCAGGGAAAGAGCTACTTGTGAGCCATTTACTTAAGCAGCCGTTCAACAAACTGCTCTGGGCCAGGCCCTGTACTGGGCGGTGCTGGGGACACAGCAGTGGCTGGGAGAGGCTGCCCTCTCAGAGCTCACAGTCCAGTGGGGAAGACAGACATGTCCCCAGAGTGGTCAGGGCTGCCATGAGGGAAGCACTGAGCTGTAGGAGCCCACAGCAGACAGCTGACCAGCCTGGGGACGTTCAGGGAGGGCTTCCAGGGAAGGGCACATCAGGAAGAAGGGACCTTAGCACAGCAGGAGGTGTCCAGGGAGAGAAGGCAGTCTAGGCAGAAGGTCCGGACTGAGCAAGGGCCCCGAGGCAGGGAAGAGCTATGAGCATTTTGAGAAAAGGTCATGGGATTTAAGCACAGGAGGAGAGAGAAAGTGGAGTGAGGGAAGGGCTCCAGGAAGGCCTGTCCCGGTCCCTACCTCTCCAGCCAGCTCTTGAAACAGCTGCTGCAACCCCAGCTCCAGGGGCATGTAAGGGCCCTGCAGCATGGGAGGAATTCAGCTCTGGCCAAGACCTGGCCCCCACCACATCGTGCCCCTCCAAGAGCAGCCCCTCACCGTGAGAGCCTGCAGGTCTGCGCTGATCACATCATCGATCTCCCTGCACATTTTAGAAGATGGGAAGGGGGACTGTTCACCCCCGGCTGGGGCTGTGGGGCGTGGGGGGGGATCTCAGCTGAGGAATCGGGTGGGGTCTAGGCGGGAACCATGGGGTCCTGGGCTTATCCACACGGGACTGGAGATTCCGGGGGCGAGGTCTAGGCTGGCCCCGGGAAGCGGGTCTCTGAGGGCCTGGGGATCCCCGGGTTGGATCTGGGTGCCCCAGGCTCACACGGCCGTGTGGCGGCGCTCGGAAAAGATGCGCAGCGTGAAGTCGGCCTCGTCGCTGGCGCGGGCGGCGCTCGGCACCACCAGGTAGTGTCCGGGGCGCAGGCGGCAGCGGCGGCTCACGTCGCGGCGGGCGCAGAAGGGAGAGCGGTCGGCGCGCAGCAGCCCGGGCAGGAGCGCGCGGCTGCGCGGGGAGTCCCAGAGGCCCAGCAGCTGGGGGCAGGGCGGCATGACCGCGACCGCCCAGGCTCACCCGCCCGGCCTCCGCCCCAC